AATGCAGGAGGTGAAGTTCAGTCTTCTATATTTCATATTGCTTTGAGATAGCAGCTTGAGGACACACCCGCAGAAGCGACAATCCAGTAATACAGCTATTCAAATGGAACAACGCATCGCAACAGGCCACATTTCTAAAAGTAGCAATGTGTTACTATGAACTACAGCAAAGACACTTATGCAAACTTCAATTTAACTTTGACTCTCTGGATAAACTGAACCTCAAGTAATAACTGAATGGTAAATCTAAATACCAATGCTGTCTTAACAGTATCAATGTACCGAATTTGACTTTGTGCCATGGTATAATCTGTATCGTGTCATAACAACGCTCTAAGTGGTGTCACTTTAAATTAGTGAAGGTGTTGTTTATTTGTTTGTTGTTCAACGCCGTGCTCAGAAATATTCCAGCTATAAGGCGGCGGGCCGTAAATAATGGCGTCTGGACCAGACAATCCAGTGATCATCAACATAAGCATCGATCTGCACAACTGGAATTCGATGACATGTCACCCAAATCAGTGAGCCTGACCACCCGATTGCGTTAGTCGCTTCTTCCGACAAACATGAGTTGATGAAGACCACTTCTTATCTTCACGTGTTAAGTTTATATGGCAAGCGGACAGAGGACCTTTTTTCAGAAAGCCGTACGAAAATATTTCCTTTAAAGGCCACATGCAACGTAAAACACAACTTTGCAGATTCTGATACCTTTCGGTATGGACTTACCGAAACAAATCATCAAAAATGCAAATTCAACTTATGAAGTTGAAAAATAACGCGATGAAAAAAAACGCGCTAAATCGTAGTTCAAACGATTCACTAACTTTCCCCCAGCGCTTGGGGGAATTGAAGGGGTTTCAACAGCTGGGCTGCGCTCATAGCACATGTGCAGTGAAATAGGTTCGCGGAGCTTGGAAGCGGGTTGTCCGGTGAATATTCGGTGAAGGCTTTGGTGTGAGCTATTTTTCTAATGTTTTGTTGATATTTCACAGGCGCGAGCTTTTTATGTGTTATGACAGTAGATTACCGATTTAACTGTTTATATAATTTCATTTGTCTATTTCACCACACGTTCTTCTTAAAGAGTCACTTTCTCGGTTCGATTCTTGAAAGCAATGTCATTATTTAACTGTGATATAGATATGTCGTTGTCACAGACAAAACTCAAAGTCTGTTTTATTGGCACCTATGTGTCCGCCTGCCCGTCTGCTAATGACAATATTCAATACACAATTTCAATCACTGACCACATGCAATTTGAACTTAACACCTATCAGGCTATACACCATGAACAAAAAGCATTGATTTATGGCCCGAGTCCGGTCTCTGTCACATTATGTAATTACACAGACAGGCAGGTGTGATACTTGTACACATGACATGACATGTTAAGATGTCTGTTGATTGCAAAATGTTATACACAAAAAATGAGCATGTATTTACAAAACCCAACATCTCTATATATACACACACAATCAGCCGTAAGGGCATCTGCAAATGAACCAGCCGTTACACTTGAGTGCACACACACCCGCTTTGACTGTGTTCGGAAGTAAACCCAAGTACAAAATATTGCACTTTTGATTTGCGATTGTACGCTTATAATTTTGTTTCTATGTTTTTTTCATAACCAGCAATGTATATTATATGTCATGAATAAGTGATAACTGTGTTTTAATTATGTTTGATTCTTTTGTTGCATGTGACCTTTAAGTTTGTTGTTCAATCAAGTTAAAGAAATAAAACATCTCCTATATTAATGTCATGTTGCCAAATCGCCAGTGAAACATGAACCATTCTGGGCATGGCTGCACATTGTTGTTGCTCCGGGAGACACCGATACCGATGGTTGTCAAAGTCGTACACCGTAATGGAGAAACCATGACATATGTCCACCTCTCGAATCCAGTGATTTTCTATACACTATAAATATATAACACTATAAAACGTCAGTGCAACGAAATAACCAGTTTGATATCGGCTGAGCCAGTTTCCAATTGGCTTAATATAAAGGCAAAATAACTGTGGAATATATTTGAATGTACCAATCAAAGTCAATGGTTGACACCAGGTTGTGGATGATAATTGTTTTGGACAATGTGCCATCAAAGGACATCTCTGCTAAGCCCACGAACCTGTCTCTTCTATCCCATGCATCTAGGTATCCTTGGTTCTCCTATCCCATGTATTTAGGGTTTACTCGATACATGCCGAACACCCAGCCTCTGTGCACTTCCGATAACTAGAGTCTCCCTACTGTCATCACGAATATGTGTATATAACATCATAGCAATGTTTTGAAAAGACAGTTATCTACTCCCCAAATTTATTAAGCTTACCGATAATTATTGTGCTCTGATGGGTTTTTTTCTAATCAAATACATCTGAAATACAAACGCCACTTAAATAAAGTTCTAAACAAGCGAAGAAGATAAATACGCTTTTATCATAATTTTATAATCGGATATAAAGTTGAACAAAAAACCCATATAAATGTTTGGTCACATGTGGAGTTGAATAAATGGAAGTAAACGTAGACCAAAGGATGTATAAACTGTACGACTTATGACTAGATTAATACAAAATAGTGAGCTCGTACAATTTTAGATTAAATTTGACATTTGCAAGTATTTGTAAATATGCCTAGTCACAGCTTTAGGCTAGTAATCATGACAGACGGCATGAAAGCGACACTAGACCGAAAACAGTCGGAGAAATGTTTTAAAGACAAATCTAAAACACCACTATGATAACATCATCAAATATATCCCCATCGAATAGCCAGTTCGAGTTCGTTTAATGCTTGGCGGCAGTCAGACATGAGTGGTTATACTTGTCCTCTTTAGTGTACATACCAGCAGGGATCAGGGAATGAAACGACTACTTGCCATAAACTGGGTCATGTTAGTGAAAGGTTGCAATAACATGCATGTGATACCCCCAGTGTTTGTTACATATATACTACCCATCAAAAGTTTAGACTCACTAGTGTAAATGTAGCCACTTACTTCAGTCAACTGTTCTAAACTAGATTTTGCAAAATATTCCATAATGTTTAAAGGAACTGTTTACACATAAACTTCTGTATTGTAAAACTCAGTGAAAATTGACGAAGGCTTAAGAAAACTTTACACCCAAACGTAGCTGTTGACATGCACGATATTTGCACATGCGTTTCAGCAATTTGATGCATAATCCCCGTGCAATCCATCTGCATAAGGTTTGCAGTTGGTTCCCTCAAGTTAGTGGAGAAATTCATTTTCGATGTAACCATATGTATATGCATAACATATAGTGAATGCTTTAAATGAGTCTAAACTTTTGATGGGCAGTATAATGTCACAGCCATTCTCACTTCATTCACGTAAGTGGTATTCTACGGCGCTTCATTAATTTGTACCTTGCACTATTGAGAGTGAGAGGATGGGCTAGGTTTTAAACACTGTGAACACTGTGAACCCTTTGCTTGTTTGGTGTACCGAGTAATCGAGTTTGAACAAGTGATTGATATGTGCAACAATAGAATGCGTGGTCGGGTTTAGCGTTTTGGTTGCGTAGAAAGCTTTGTCGTAGCATTCGCACCTTCTATACTGTAACATAGGAGGTACTAATGCTACGAGATGTAAGGCCTACGAGAGCTTTGTGAAACGGGGCCCATGGCGCAGTTGCACATCTTTTAAACATCACGCCAGATTTGCACTTGCAGTATGGTGCTTGGTATGTAAGATTATACGAACATGTTCTCTCCTTGTTCACAGGCGTACACAGCACATCCTCCTTAGGCAAGTGAGTTTGTTCATGAATTGCCTTTGTTCGCCCAGCAGTGAACGGGTACAAAGTGGGATAGGAATGTAAACCTTCTAGCGCCTCACCGGCAGCGGGTTATCCGGCGTAATAATGCCTTAGCGCTTTGATCTTGCACAGGTGCGTGGAAAGGGCGCTTTATAAATGGCCATCATTATTATAGATATCCACTTGTCACCTCGATGTATCGCCCACATTCCGAATCCGTGGCAATAACTTAGCAAAAGACATTTGTGGTATTTTATGTGCATTTTATTAGAAAAATCAGAGGTGAAGTTTTGTACAACCAAAGGGAAATAACAATTCGTAAAGGGATACTGTTGATGGAGGAGTTACTGCACCTGCCCATCGGTGTCCGTAATTAATCTACAGTATCAGGTGAACAGACGTATAAGCGCTGCATGTCTTGTTGCTAAGGTCTGGCATATAAGCGTCTAGGGAAACACTCGAATAATGAGAAGCTCGCACACTCATTCTCGAATGCTATGCTACGCACCTTTTCTCATATAACAACGCAGCCGCTCTCGCATACAGAACAGCGCACAGACGGACGCACTCTCGTACATAGAGGACGAAAGCAAACATATCATAAGTATCTTCATTTTCTTTACACTCGCGTAGCCGCACTTGAATGTAAATCAGACAGGCTACATAAGACCTAAGACATGTTTTTGATCACCTTGAATGACCAACAGCGTACATTTCTCTTGTGCTAGTCCACCTTTTAACAAGGAATATTTAGTTAGCTGCCCAATTAGTTGGATCTGTACCCCAAGGAAACACTGTACATTGTGACACCACCGACCAGCCTTCATCTTAATAGCCTAATCTATAACCCTAGAAAACCCCCAGTTTTTTACCATTAGGACCCGTGGAAATATTATTTGTGGAGAATTTATCTTCAGCACCGTACCCATATTAGTAATTATTATGAGAGTCACTGGATTGTCTGGCCCCGACTCGAATATTTACACATCGCCGTCAAAAAAGTAATTAGCTGCGTGCGGTGTTGCAATGAACAAACGTTATGACCATTACGCCCAGTTCGTGTTATCCAACTCTTGACATAAGACGTTATTTGAGCAGGTCTTGTTCTAACGACAATTCGTTAGTTGAAGCAACAGAAACCAAACCAAACTTTCATGACATCGTGAAACAGATGTCTCCTGTCAGCAGCCTGGAACTGCGACAGGCTCTACGAGAAGCGGCCTATGGTGGGATAGTAGCAGTGGTACCGGTGTGCAGGTGTCCTGTCAAGCATGATGTAAATATATCAAGGTGATGGTAATACAAAAAACATCTATGTCTACATACAAGGTACTATAATAGTGTGCAAAACACGTCCATTATATATTTCAGATTATATTGGGATAATACTCCAGAAACACATCAGACATCATACAGTGTACCAACAGAGGAGAATAAAAATGTGCATATATGGTTGTGAGATAAACAAATTGGAAAGGATGGACCATTTGATCACTTGTATCCTATACTAGTTCCTCCAGTGTTGTGCAGTTTCAAGATTAAACAATTCGCTACTTGTTTCCTATAAAGGCACATAACAGTTTTTCCCCTTATGTACGCTTGCTGCGGTAAACATCTTTCAGCGTGCAACAAGACTTACAAAATAATCTATTTTATATACAAGGCACTCTAATAGTATGCAGAAACACATTCATTACATATTTCAGATAATATTGGGATTATGCCCTCGAAATAAAACATAGCGAGGTACGTCATTCATTGACCCCCAGAGGAGGGGAATAAAATGTATATATTATATATTTATTGTATGATAGAACATTTGGTCAGAATGAAGCAAATCCCTAGATGTAACCTGTAATGGCACGATGCCATCTTCAGCATTTTTATTCAGTTCCGATTTTAGACTAGTATCTTGGAAAGATTAGAACGCCAGTCTGTGAACCACGTTCGCTATGGTTTACATCGTTCAACATGTAATAAGAATTACCAAAAATCAGGAAACTTATTCAATCAACCATTGTCCAAAGTAGGACATCATTGTCATTTCAGCGCTGGTAGTAGTAGTTTCCGTCGTCGCCGTCGCGTCGAAGACCGAATGAAGACTCAAGCTTTTCCACCACCTTCCTGAACGTGGGCCGCTTCCCTGGGGATTCGGACCAGCTGTCCTGCATCAGCCGGTAGTGACTAAAAACAGACACATTGGGTTGTACTACACACGTATAACGTTCTTGATGCATATCTGTCTCTGGAATTAATTCAGGGCAGGATTCTGCGCATGACACCAGTGTGCAACATAGCCACTGGCCCGCTAGCCCGTGGTTAGTAAATATCTAGTCGGGCCAGTAAATCTCCACAGTCACTGGCCCGACTGGCTAGTGAATTTTCAAGGGGTCTTTTTTATAAATATATCACTCTCCCAGACTGGTTAAGTTATAATTTCCTTATAAATCATGCAAGATTATGGCCTGATAAACATGGTCATCATATTAGCAGCTTAAAGATGGTCATGCCGATCATGTCTCATTATCATCTGGGCGGTAGGGTAGCCTAATGGTTAAAGAGTTGGCTCGTCACGCCGAAGACCCGGGTTCGAATCCCCACATGGGTAAAATGTGTGAAGCCCATTTCTGGTGTCCCCCGCCGTGATGTTGCTGGATTATTGCTAAAAGCGGCGTAAAACCAAACTCAGTCAGTCAGTCATTATCATCTATTTTTTGTAATCTTTTGCTTAGTTTCTACATTCAAATTTCGGGCTTGTGAATTAGTTTGTGGACAAGTAACTTTGAGGCATAGCTAGCCCGAACTGGCTAGCAAAATTTGGAAACTATTTGGCACATTGCTTGACACCTATAGAATCATGACACCATCATGACACCTCATGACAACATCATGACCAGCCGTCATATTCGGATTAGTGTGGTATTACTAGCATCCTTAGTATGGTCATCTATCTTCAGTTGTTGGCGATCTGCAGCCTGTTGTACAGTGTATGGTCTATAGTTTTAGATTTACATGCTAGTTTTATATAGCTATGTTTAATGTCTTTCGTGCTCAGCGTTCTATACCATGTGTCATTAATTCTAAAAGATGCTTCAGTCATGGCCGAAGTACTGACGATCTGACTAAAAGTTCTAACACCCTCTCTCACTCGGATTACGACAGCTTGCCATCTCCAAAAGTACAATACCATCAACATCATGGCACAATACAACGATGAGGACACGGACTCCACACTTCCTGAGCAGGTATGATTAGGGCAAACACGCACGTATGTATGTATGTATGTATGTATGTATGTATGTATGTATGTATGTATGTATGTATGTATGTATGTATGTATGTATGTATGTATGTATGTATGTATGTGTATGTATGTATGTATGTGTATGTGTATGTGTGTGTATGTATGTATGTATGTATGTATGTATGTATGTATGTATGTATGTATGTATGTATGTATGTATGTATGTATGTATGTATGTATGTATGTATGTATGTATGTATGTATGTATGTATGTATGTATGTATGTATGTATGTATGTATGTATACACCAATAACCAAACAACGAAACCGTTGGGTACCATTCAGAAGACTTAACACTATTAGATACACGGTGTTTTAAAAAGGTGTACTGGACTGTAAGACCCTTGTAGATTCCATATTTCCTGAGGCGCAGCCGATCGAAATACGGAATTTACAGGGATCTTACAGTCCCGTAACCCTTTCAAAACACCATGTGACGAATTTATAACCCTTAAGATCTCTTTATGTAGCATACCATTAAAACCAGTATTCAATCTTCGGCAGAATGAGACGCAACACGCAACAGGACCATTAGGGAGATGACACGGGATGGCTCAGTTTATCATTAATTTTTTTAAGGTTTCGTTAAATGACAAGATGAATACAGAAACATTTTTTTTGTATATTTCTATTGGCACAAAAAAATAAGAAATTATGACAATTTTATTACTGTTTATAGTAATTATTGTATACGCCAACGCTAAAATTTCGTTTGGCAGCCACATTCCATCTAAGGTCAATTTCATTCGTACAACCCGTTTGACGGGTTTACGTTTCGTACATCCTGGCAAATCTTCCTACATGGTTTCGTAAGCTTTGGCTGTTGACCTATCAGAAGTTATCTTTATCTTAAGGGTAATAAATTATGTTCTTGTGTGGCATGAAATCTGAGTCTTCATCGTGTGGAACAAAGCCCTTCCCAGCCATCTTCCCCATCATGTGTGTGATAACATTTACAGATACCGCGTATTTAACTCCGACGTGCATGTTATAATGTGTATAACTGAAAATAACACTAATCACATCGTTGTGTTATTGATATTTCACATGTACAACAATTAGCTTAATCTTCAAAATGCAGTTGGAACATATTGAACATTTTGATGGATAATTGATACTTACATATCCTCTGCATACTCTGGCCTTGCCATTCGGTATCCACCCTTGACCTTTGCTGGTATATCACGACCTCTGATGTTGTCGTAAGGGTTTCCACCTAGATAGAGATTAGCACTTTTATATTTATAGCTAACGTTCCTTAGTCTGTTTACAAACAAACCCCATGTTCCGAAAATCTATAACTAAGTCTGTATTTGTTGTCGATGCGATCGCTGAATATTATGATTACAATCCGTGCTTTTAACATGTTCCAGAAAATGTGGAAAATATATATGCTCGATTTTGTGACGAGACATTTGTTTATTATCATTTACTGTACAGTAATAAGGAGCATATCTGCATGGTTTACAACATGTAGTCATGTATAGCCATGCAATGCGACTGACACCCAGACACATCCACACCTAGCCATACTCATCATCTGATACCTAGACACATTAATATATCACAGGACACATCCACACCTAGCCATGCTCATCATCTGATACCTAGACACATCAACATATCACAGGACACATCAACACACAGCCATGCTCATCACCTGATGCCTAGACACATCAACATATCACAGGACACATCCACACACAGCCATGCTCATCACCTGATACCTAGACACATTGATATATCACAGGACACATCCACACCCAGCCATGCCCATCACCTGATACCTAGACACATTAATATATCACAGGACACATCCACACCTAGCCATGCTCATCACCTGATGCCTAGACGCAATAATATATCACAGGACACATCCACACACAGCCATGCTCATCACCTGATGCCTAGTCACATCAACATATCACAGGACACATCCACACACAGCCATGCTCATCACCTGATACCTAGACACATTAATATATCACAGGACACATCCACACCTAGCCATGCCCATCATCTGATACCTAGACACATTAATATATCACAGGACACATCCACACCTAGCCATGCTCATCACCTGATGCCTAGACACATCAACATATCACAGGACACATCCACACACAGCCATGCTCATCACCTGATACCTAGACACATCAACATATCACAGGACACATCCACACCTAGCCATGCTCATCACCTGATGCCTAGACACATCAACATATCACAGGACACATCCACACCTAGCCATGCTCATCACCTGATGCCTAGACACATCAACATATCACAGGACACATCCACACACAGCCATGCTCATCACCTGATGCCTAGACACATCAACATATCACAGGACACATCAACACCCAGCCATGCTCATCACCTGATGCCTAGACACATCAACATATCGCAGGACACATCAACACACAGCCATGCCCATCACCTGATACCTAGACACATTAATATATCACAGGACACATCCACACACAGCCATGCTCATCACCTGATGCCTAGACACATCAACATAGCACAGGACACATCCACACACAGCCATGCTCATCACCTGATGCCTAGACACATCAACATATCACAGGACACATCCACACACAGCCATGCACATCGCCTGATGCCTAGACGCAATAATATAATACAGGACACATCCACACACAGCCATGCTCATCACCTGATGCCTAGACACATTAACATATCACAGGACACATCTACACACAGCCATGCTCATCACCTGATGCCTAGACGCATCAATATATCACAGGACACATCCACACACAGCCATGCTCATCACCTGATGCCTAGACACATCAACATATCACAGGACACATCCACACCAAGCCATGCTCATCACCTGATACCTAGATACATTAATATATCACAGGACACATCCACACACAGCCATGCTCATCACCTGATGCCTAGACGCAATAATATGTCACAGGACACATCCACACACAGCCATGATCATCACCTGATGCCTAGACACATCAACATAGCACAGGACACATCAACACACAGCCATGCTCATCACCTGATGCCTAGACGCAATAATATGTCACAGGACACATCCACACACAGCCATGCTCATCACCTGATGCCTAGACACATTGATATATCACAGGACACATCCACACCAAGCCATGCCCATCACCTGATGCCTAGATGCAATAATATGTCACAGGACATATCCACACCTAGCCATGCTCATCACCTGATGCCTAGACACATCAACATAGCACAGGACACATCAACACACAGCCATGCTCATCACCTGATGCCTAGACACATCAACATATCACAGGACACATCAACACACAGCCATGCTCATCACCTGATGCCTAGACACATCAACATATCACAGGACACATGCACACACAGCCATGCCCATCACCCGATACCTAGACACATTAATATATCACAGGACACATCCACACCTAGCCATGCCCATCACCTGATGCCTAGACACATTAATATATCACAGGACACATCCACACCTAGCCATGCCCATCACCTGATGCCTAGACACATCAACATATCACAGGACACATCAACACCCAGCCATGCTCATCACCTGATGCCTAGACACATCAACATATCGCAGGACACATCAACACACAGCCATGCCCATCACCTGATACCTAGACACATTAATATATCACAGGACACATCCACACACAGCCATGCTCATCACCTGATGCCTAGACACATCAACATAGCACAGGACACATCCACACACAGCCATGCTCATCACCTGATGCCTAGACACATCAACATATCACAGGACACATCCACACACAGCCATGCACATCGCCTGATGCCTAGACGCAATAATATAATACAGGACACATCCACACACAGCCATGCTCATCACCTGATGCCTAGACACATTAACACATCACAGGACACATCTACACACAGCCATGCTCATCACCTGATGCCTAGACGCCATAATATATCACAGGACACATCCACACACAGCCATGCTCATCACCTGATGCCTAGACACATCAACATATCACAGGACACATCCACACCAAGCCATGCCCATCACCTGATACCTAGATACATTAATATATCACAGGACACATCCACACACAGCCATGCTCATCACCTGATGCCTAGACGCAATAATATGTCACAGGACACATCCACACACAGCCATGATCATCACCTGATGCCTCGACACATCAACATAGCACAGGACACATCAACACACAGCCATGCTCATCACCTGATGCCTAGACGCAATAATATGTCACAGGACACATCCACACACAGCCATGCTCATCACCTGATGCCTAGACACATTGATATATCACAGGACACATCCACACCAAGCCATGCCCATCACCTGATGCCTAGATGCAATAATATGTCACAGGACATATCCACACCTAGCCATGCTCATCACCTGATGCCTAGACACATCAACATATCACAGGACACATCAACACACAGCCATGCTCATCACCTGATGCCTAGACACATCAACATATCACAGGACACATGCACACACAGCCATGCCCATCACCCGATACCTAGACACATTAATATATCACAGGACACATCCACACCTAGCCATGCCCATCACCTGATGCCTAGATGCAATAATATGTCACAGGACATATCCACACCAAGCCATGCCCATCACCTGATGCCTAGATGCAATAATATGTCACAGGACATATCCACACCTAGCCATGCTCATCACCTGATGCCTAGACACATCAACATATCACAGGACACATCCACACCTAGCCATGCCCATCACCTGATGCCTAGATGCAATAATATGTCACAGGACATATCCACACCTAGCCATGCTCATCACCTGATGCCTAGACACATCAACATATCACAGGACACATCAACACACAGCCATGCTCATCACCTGATGCCTAGACACATCAACATATCACAGGACACATGCACACACAGCCATGCCCATCACCCGATACCTAGACACATTAATATATCACAGGACACATCCACACACAGCCATGCTCATCACCTGATGCCTAGATGCAATAATATGTCACAGGACATATCCACACCTAGCCATGCTCATCACCTGATGCCTAGACACATCAACATAGCACAGGACACATCAACACACAGCCATGCTCATCACCTGATGCCTAGACGCAATAATATGTCACCGGACACATCCACAACCAGACATGCTCATCACCTGGAACCTAGACACATCAACATATCACAGGACACATCCACAATTAGCCATGCTCATCATCTGATACCTAGACACATCAACATATCACAGGACACACCCACAATTAGCCATGCTCATCATCTGATACCTAGACACATCAACATATCACAGGACACACCCACACCCAGCCATGCTCATCATCTGATACCAAAACACATCAACATATCACCGGACACATCCACGGACATCCCCACACAACGACTGAAAGCATGACACATCATCAAGTCCCTTGACATACCCACACATAGCCAGGCATATCACTTGATACCTTGACGCATCAACATATTACAGGACACATACACACAGAATTCACATCCACACGCAGATCAGCTGATAACCTCGCACATCAGCACACATGACACATTAACACATAACCGGTCACATTCACACACATCTTGGCAGATTAACACATCATCAGGCACATCCACACATTAAATCATTTCAATACTAAACTAGACGAATTCATACACAACCAGGAAACACCAGATATGTCGACACACACCTATGCACATCCACACACATCCAGACACATCATCAAACAAGCGGACACACTCAGCCACAACCAAACACTTACCCATGCTGAAGATCTCCCAGATCGTCACGCCATAGGACCACGCGTCACTCTTCTCATTAGCATCCTTAAGAGACCTCAGGCACTCGGGGGCTGTCCATTTAATGGGGATGCGGTCCTTCATCATAAAAAGCATCAAAGTTTGAAAACCTTCACGTTTTATTTTGACTTACCATTCTTGTTATGGAAGTGATAGGATTACATCGTAGCAGAAAGGAAATCGTGAATGTCCATGACCAAGTGTATAATGAATGTTTACCCAAAACATTAGATTGATTGTACTATATGCATGTTTAATTTACGGACAGCCGTGATTGTAATATGCATACTAATAGCCTTGTTTACTGACAGTTCCTGCACCCTTACCCCTTTGTTGTCCTCGGAGGACTCATCAACCCTGCTTGGCCCAAAGCCTGCAACTTTGATCTCCAGCAGGAAGGTCAACAGACAGTTACGTGCAGCTAGTTTGCGGTGAACGATCTGAAACAAATACACAAGCTGAACACACTCACATCCTAACTAGATCCTGTTCTATAACCCCAACTTCTTGAAGAGATGTAGAGTGGAAACTAACCTCATCCAGTCATCGGGGATCAAGATTCATGTCCTTGTCCAGTAATGGTAGGGGCTAGGAATAATCAAGACGGATACTCTCTCTCACCACTATGTACTGTTATGGCATAATGTGACACATATTGACCATAGCCAGGTAGATCCAGATGGACAGACTGACCCCGGTATTTTAAGACCTATGAAGATGGATATACAGGCCTTGCCCTTAAAGAAGTGAGGATTCATGCATTGGGTTGGACATTTCATAAAACATGAGGATTCGTGTATGGGGCTCCCAATTATAGAAAGTATTAAGGTTCTTGAATCGGGCTAGTCATTTCAACCAGAATGAAGATTCATGCATGGGGACCGCCTATCTAAGACACATCAACATGGATATAAAGACCTTGTCTTTTCAAGAAGTACAAAGAATAACACAGAGGCTTCACATTTCAGGAAGCAGGAAAAAGTAAAGTTGACCGTGAAATTTTAAGAGGTATCCAAATCAATACACCGACCTCGCAATTTTATAACGCCTCAATGTCTACTCAGCGATCTAAACGCATACACTGTGTTTTAAGACTCTTCTCCACACACACTGTGTAAAATCACCAAAAGGCCTTTGCATGCATCATTGGTAAAGGCAAAAAATATTTTCCCATGTTGAGTAACCGTCATTTGTCGTAACAGTATCTACAGATTTCCTTCCGTTTTCAGGTATTTAAAGTTTATGTAACTGCTACATTGGACACTTACCCCCTTGGAAGTCAGGTACTCCATGGCACGTGCGATCTCCAGGGCAAAGTTCTGTATCCTGTCAAGGGTTTCTTCGGTGATGTTGGATCTCTGATTGGTCAGCCACTTGTCCAACTGACCAGTCTCACAGTACTCCAGCACCATGACGGGACCCACTGAGAGACACCACAGCAAGAGTCAGACACATGTTATACAGCCAGACACCAGACAGACACAGATACACCCACAGAGGTACATGTCATAATGGCAGACGACGAATTGAAGTTTTAAACAGACGTCCTACTGGAATCGATTTCAAGAATGGGCAAAAATGACCATTATTTTCAAAAATCGAATGAACACAAATTCAAATTCCACAATGTGTACAAGACACAGTTGTCAAGGAAATTAAATACAATGGGTCACTCAAATCACTAGATTTTTGCTAAGTGAGAAACAAGCAGGTCCTGTCTGAAAGGTAGAACCTACCGTTAACACATTGTGCAGACTAAAGTTGTGTTTTATAGGGACATTTTAAACAGACCGATACTGGTTCGGCAATAGAGTAAAAGTAACAACTCACAAGCATCGTTTTCCATGACGGCTCCTAAGAATCCCAGCACATTGCGGTGCTCACCGACCTGTGTAGCAGCAAAGTTGATCTTCGCCAGCATCAAAAGGATGTCGTCCTCACTCTCCCGCACTGTGAAATGTCGACATAATGAACTTGACACCAGGACCATAACACAAATGACACATACTAGATTGAAATGTTTTTCACATAAAAATAGTTTTACCTTTCAGGACCTTTGCAGCCACTTCCTTGACGTTCTTGGGAGTTTCCATCCACTTGGCCTTGTAGATCTTTGCAAACTTGCCGGTAGCGATGACCTCTGTCAGGCTGATGTCTTCTGGAGGGACGTACCAGGGTTCTCCTAGGTCCATGCTGCCGTAGATGTAGATGTCGTCGTCCTTGGTGTATGTCGTGTTCTATAGCAGATAAAGGAGTTTCGCTAAAGTAAAGTAAGTTTGCCAAAGGTCTCTCATCTGGATATTGTATTATTGTATTGATTTTGTAATACATTATTCATTCCACACAAACAAGACAGCAAGACTCTGAAGACACAGCTAAAAATGTAGAAGGTTTTATATCTCACATCATATGCCCATCTGCTGGCGCGATTCCTTTGTTTGACAGCTGTGGTACCAACTGGGGTCTCTACATGTGGTCTCTCCCTGTACTTCGGGTCCCGTCGAAGGAGCCCGGCGAGAAGGCCAAGTTTGAATAGGACCAGTCCCACGATGACGAGTATCACTATGAGCAGGAGTAATACCCCTGGATGAAAGCAAAACAAGAGTGAGTGAGTGAGTTAAAACTTACCGTCACATCGGCAATATTTCAGCCATATCGTGACTATAACAAGTTTCAAATTGACCATAAATACATGTACATCATAAAACCGTCAAGGAAGGACACTGAAACCAACTAGACTGTCACAGTGTCAAGAATTAATACTAGCATCTCTCTAAAATTGGATTTCAAATTAGAGAGTCTTGAGTAAAACGCTTTGGTTGGCATGATGCTGACGTTTGTTTGTCTTAAACAGTTTTATAAGAGTACACCTACCTATCACTATACCAGCCACTGCTCCCCTGAAAGTCCATCAGATTCTACAACAGAGAACAAAGGCTGATGTGTCCCGCTTCTGATTTGATGACGAAGCATTTGCCACAAACATATCTAGTACTTTAAACAGGTATTACGTTAGGTCCTGTGGTTTGAGCACTTTTTCATAATCAGCCAATGTTTATCCAGCAACCTTTATACTCAAGTCAACATATGGATTGAATGTGAAAGTGTGTGATGGAGTTAGCTGGGATTTAACGCTGTTTTGAACAGTATTCCAAACATATGTCAGCTTAATGTGGGAGATCTGCCCAAAATGATGCGGGTCTCAAATGTTTACGAGTTCCTACAGATCACGAGCAGGGTGCTGACATACGATCCTTCAATGTCTCCTCCTATATTGGTCATTGGTACTGTATGTCCAATACGTCATTGTACTCGACAACCCATGCTGCGTTGAGGCGCGATAAGATTAACAGTCATATGACTTAGCCCTCTAGTTGCCCATTCACCTCTGGCAGAACACCGGCATTTGCCTAAGGTAACACCACGTGTGTTACATGTGGTCCGCATGGGGCAGAACTGAAGTCTCAGAAATTCTATGACGTGAAGCTGACAAACTGGCCATCCATCCAAAACCTATATTAAATATTTAGCACGAAGATCAGCCGAATCTATAGAGGACTCAGAAGAAGCGTCATCTGTCACAGATTTTTACATTTATACTATTTCAAATATGTTTCCGACAACTCACACTTATAAGCACAGGCTAGCAATTCTTGATTTTTTAAATGTTACACTTATCTTCTAATGGCATACTGATCTTCCAGTGTTATACTTGTCTTCATTTTCACTTAGTTTGCCGACTAACTTAAACAGCCAACTCTGATACAGCTAATACACAACAAGCAGTCATCGGTCGTCACAATCAACGCCAGAATTGGCATATGAATAATAACAAAATTCATCCGCACTTTTGAAAGCTTTTGAATTGGATGTCATACTAGACTTTTCTCACCAAAGTCTAAATCAGATACTGACAACGAAAACAGATAACTGCTTCTGTGTTGATGAACGTTCAGTGACAATATACCACATGTTGAGGAATATTAATGCTTAAAGAGTGTTTTACAAAGGCGCCAGATAGACATTTGTAAGAAACTCAATAGATAATGTAAACTATGAAAATGTGGGTGAATGAGTATGGTGTTCTTAGCAATATTCCAGCAATATCACGGCGGGGGACACCATAAATGGGGAATCGAACCCGTGTCTTCGGCGTAACCAGCGAATGCTTTAACCACTAGGCTACCCCGACGCCCCACGAAAACTGTGCTCAGGTCACTATAAACCTGAAGGCTTCAAAACACGGCTATTGTTGTCCTGCTTGATTGGCATTTTAGAAGATGCTATTTGATGAACATAAAGAATTCACTGGATTTCATCTTCTTTTATTCTTTGATACAATGTTTCGGGACATGTTCCGGCCCCATCGACAGTTAACTGTTTACTAGTCTCACCTGATGATGGGGGCGGAATATTCCACGAAACATTGTATCAAAGAATAAAAGAAGATGAAATCCGGAAAATTCTTTAAGTTGTTACCTGTTGTGACGGTCACCGGGACAGCCCTGCTCTTGAACTCCCCATACTGGGAAATAACCACAATTGTGTAGGCTGTGTCTGGCTGGAGGCCGACCAGAGTGTGGGTGGTCGCTGTCTTGTGCAGTAGGGTCATCTCGGTCCGTCCATTAACTTCGTAGTTAATCCACATCTCTGTCCGGTTGTAGCAGCTGAGGGCGTGTTTCCACGTCAGGGTCACTAGGTTGGTTTCCTTCCTCGTAACAGCCACATTTAGAGGGGCTAGCGCTGATACAAACAAATACGATCCCACTTGAGGATGACACTGACACTGGACCACTCATTTGAATAAATCTGCTTCATATTCCTTAAAACAACAACAATAGGAAACCCTGCCCACAAGTTTAAAACCGGGTCCACTGTACGAGCCCGTCTATTTCGTAAGAAGTTGTTAGGAGTAAGCGTATCCAGCCAAATGGGTGTTACTCGACACAATACACGTGAAGGTCCGGGTTAGAATATTGATCTTTAGAAACCCATGCTTTTCGTAAGAGGCAACTAACGGAATCGGGTGGTCGGGCTGGCTGACTTGGTTGACAAATGTCATCGCTTCCCAATTGCACAGATCCATGCTCATGCTGTTGATCACTGGATTGTCTGGTCCAGACTCGATTATTTACTGACCGCCGCCATATAGCTGGAATATTGCTGAGTGTGGCGTAAAACAAATCTCACTCACTCACTCACTACTCTATATTAACACATGCGAAGGACGGTCAAGGATTCAACAAAGGCAGACACAAGTAGAACAATGTAATTGCTTTCGGTTGTTAGGTAGCGCGAGGTTCGTAGTCACATAGCAAGGTGACATAGTATGTGTATACACAGTGTGTCCGCGTCCCTCGTATTAAATATGGACACACAGGTCAATTTCTATTTACGTTCGTAAGAGGCGACAAACGGGATCTGGTGGTCAGGCTCGCTGACTTGGTTGACACATGTCATTGATTCCCAATTGCGCAGATCGATGCTCATGCTGTTGATCACTGGATTGTCTGGTCCAGATTCGATTATTTACAGACCGCTGTCATATAGCTGGAATATTGCTGAGTGTGGCGTAAAACTAAACTCACTCACTCACTCACTATTTACATTCACATTATTATCCTACTTACAGGCTTGTGTACCATTCAGTGTGTCTAGTTGATCCACCTATAACGAAGAAAAGCACAAATTCAACAAAACGTCAATTGCATAGATTAACACTGTCGAAAGAACCAAAACAGCAGTATCCCACCATCACGTTTTTGTGTATGTACTTATTCAGCTGAAATTGTATGAAATCTATCCGTTGTAAACATCGTAGTTCCTGGAAAAACTTATTCTCTTTCTGTATCAAATACTAAGCTCGATATCATAAGCCTTTCTTTTATATACTGGACAAAAATAGGGTTATATGTAAATTTTAAAGTTATGAATAATGATATATTTATTCATTGTCACACTGACACAATATCAATCATGAAAATACCAATATCCCTAACTTATTTTGTCCAGTATATCATAACCACACTCACAGTGAATCTACTTGTTGTATGGAGTCCCGCCATGTTCACGAAGTTCATGTCCATTGTCACCGTCTTCCCTTCCAGCATTGGGTGTTTCAGCCAGCAGTTGCTAATGGGCAGGAACTGCGTCTTGTTGAAGCAGACTGGATTGACGGTGGTGCAGTAACATGTGAAGTTGCTCTTACAGGACTGTGGAGAAAGGTGAAAGGATATAGCAGGTGAAAATGAACGATGACAAGGAGACACTAACTGTTAGAGGATTTAATCGGTGAACTTACATTTACAGTCCTGAGGGGCAACGTTTCATTAACAATCACCAGGTTGCTGCCTATCTTCTTGACGATAAGTTCCACACGTTTCATACCACTCTGCATGTCCCGAACATTTACTTCAACACTAGAATCAAAGACGTCACACATTAGTCTTGGTGGGTTTTTTTTAATTTTAGGGTAAACCTTATAAGACAAAATACATCAAGGTACGTCCAAGTTCGTCCAGCATGTGAGGTAGATGTGGTGAGGTAAATGTATGAAAAAATTAGTGAGTGAGTGAGTGAGTGAGTGAGTGAGCTAGGATTTTAAGGCGCATCGGCAGTTAGAAGAAATGAAAAACAATCATTGTTTCAGCTACAGCGACCTTTCGAAATAGATTTAAAACTGAATGGTGCTAGAAGACTGTAATAATTTTTTTCATTCGAATGACAATAAAGCTGACTTAAAACATATGTACGAAAAAGGGTATTTATAATTGCAACATCACTGGCAAATGCCTAAAAGTACGGAAGCGTCCAAGTCTGAATTTTTTTATCTCCTAATTAGGACTTAGCTATCTCCTAATTAGGTAATAAATTCAGACTGTGGCACTAGGACGCTTCCGTACGATCACTTTGTTACTTCCTATCAAACAAGTGGCTTCAATTCCGAGATCATAATGTGCTTGACAAGAAGAGTTTTTCAGATTCCATATCTCAGCAGGATGACAGAAACACAACAAATATACAAGCGTGAGCAACGTACCATGCTGGTGAACCAACAATGTTCAAATACTACAGGATATGTATACAACTAGTGAACCAACAATGTTCAAATACTACAGGATATGTATACAACTAGTGAACCAACAATGTTCAAATACTACAGGATATGTATACAACTAGTGAACCAACAATGTTCAAATACTACAGGATATGTATACAACTAGTGAACCAACAATGTTCAAATACTACAGGATATGTATACAACTAGTGAACCAACAATGTTCAAATACTACAGGATATGTATACAACTAGTGAACCAACAATGTTCAAATACTACAGGATATGTATACAACTAGTGAACCAACAATGTTCAAATACTACAGGCTATGTATACAACTAGTGAACCAACAATGTTCAAATACTACAGGCTATGTATACAACTACTCACGTTGAACTGAAGGGGACGTTGTTTGTCTGGACGTTCCTCTTGAACACAGGCTCTTCGACTTCAGGCGGTGTATCATCAAAATGGACCCTCGTCGAATCTACCCGGCTGTTACCTAGGACGTCTGTAGCTCTCACCCAAACTGTCACCGTGTCCCTGTTCGTCAGTGAACGTAGGTGTGAACCTATCAATCACAAACGAATATTCATTATTTCAGAACAAACATGGCATTCACCTGATATAGATGAATGCAGTTCCTGAGACTTCACACATAGTATTTACCCCAAATATATGTAAACATATAATGAAGTATAGCTTGTCCTACAGATATCAAATAGATGTGTCAAGATACCAATAATATTATGTCGAGTTCTTTTCTTGCAATAATATTAATGTGAGAAAGTATCCCGAATATATCACCTGCTGCATGATATTGAATAGGTTACCTGGAGGTATGGTATATGTTTCACTGAGTCCAACATCAGTCCAGCCTGTGGCTGGTTCCGGCTGATTCACACCGGCGTTGCTGTCCTTCGCATAAGCTATCTCAAACTTGACAACACCTCTCCTGTTTTGTATTGCGTCTACTGTCCTGTTTCCTTCGTGGTCATCCTGTCCGGACTCTCTGGGGATGTTCTTCAAGAAGTTCTCGAGCTGTGGGGGGTATTCGAGGACTTGGTTCAACCACTTGCCCTGCTCGTGCATCAGGTTGACAAAGTGGTTGGTCCACGTGACCTTGATTTCCCTAGATGGATCATCTTGCCAGTTGTACCCGCCATTAGGATCCGCCGAAGATATGTATAGACGGTTGTCTGCCCCTCTATCTATAGTAACACTGGACACGGGGTCGTATATGGCGATTCTCCTGACAAAGACAGAGTTATTGGCCTTGTCCGAGGCCTCCAGGATGAAGGAGTACACTCCAGGAGCAGTTGGTGTGTAGTTGGCTTGGAAGGAGTTGGAGGCAGATGACGACTGATTGACTTCAATAGGTCCATATATGGGATTCAAGGGTTCATACTCCTTCAGAACCTGGTTCCCATCCACCCGTAGTTTAAATACCTCCCAGGCGTAGCGGTACACGCCAGAAAGAACATCATTCCAGTTGGACCAGCGGAGATTGATTGGATTCTGAAAATGTAATGCATAACACATGTACCTGTGTCCAAAAGATAACTTAAGCTATATTTAACAGTGTTATATTAATTTGTGATTACACTGTTTAGTAAGGGTTCAGTTTCATACGGGATTCGAACCCACACCCTCAGAGTAAGGCACCTAATCGTCAGCACACAAAGTCAGACGCCTAACACGCTCAGCCACCGCGGCTTCCACAAAATGGAAGTCGGACAACTGGTAGTCAGATCATGGACTTTGTGTACCCCTCTGATAAGTGTAAACTGACACGGTTCCCACGACCGAAAGCTTTTATGACACAATGCCAAATGTAACATGCCGTATTTGTGATTACACGTTCTTATTGTATCTTACTAAGAAAGTGTAATCACATATATATAGCATATGTTACATTTGACCACTTTCTAAATGGCATTGTGTATTCAATGATTTTATCATGTCATATCCACTTAAGCTTCCAAGTGGAATAGTTTTTAGACTATTTCATGTGAAACATATACTTATCGCTATTTGTAATGTACTTTTACTTCGTTTTACAATTGGAATTTAAAAGAGTACACATTTCTTACAACAAACTGCAACAGTTGTGTTGACCCGTTTCTTAGTTATATTTCATTACACTGCTTATCTATTCAACATAAATATACAATCATGTATGTTAGCAGTCATCTGTTTTGAATTTCATTTCCCCCACATGGATTTTCAATTTTATCTCGGAACGTCCACTTTTACACAACACCTGTATCTAGTTTGTTGTACATTTGAAAATTGATACAAATTGAATCAATAGTATACCTATGATCTGCTCTTTTGATAATGTGTAATCAAGGTATATGGATGAATAAGTCAATTTAATAAGTAATATCAAAACGCTCTACGAGCGAAGATCAAATTGCACGAGAGGACCGTTATGATACCTGCTGACGTTGTACCACGTGACGATGTCGGATTTATTCCTAGACACAAGTTACATCCAAAATAAAAATTAAATTTGATGTGGCATCCATTACTTCTATTTGAATAACGATAAATGGCTTGGTTTAAACTAAACCCAAAACAATACTCAAGTTATGTCATTGCGCGATATCGTAATCCATATGTATGAAAATCTCAAAAGTTCATCACTCTGGAAAACCCAACACCACATGTATGGCTCTGTCAATACATTAAGATGCAAGAAAATACTTGAAGCGATACGGAATTGGAACCTACGATCATCAGAATGCTGTCATACACAAGGACATTAGAGGACTGAGCCGACTGTGGACACCCAAATCCAGTCCTGTCATGGATGGACTCCGAGAATGTTTAGAGGACTGAGCTGTGGACACCCAAATCCATTCACATGGATGGCGTGGATGCTTGGATGCTTGTATGCGTGTGTGCCTGTGTTTCCTCATTTATACTATTCACACTTTGCTAAGGATCACATCATGGATTCAACAGAAAACTATGATGTGGGGTCAAATTTTGTTTCAATATCTAAGCTTATTGTCAGCATGGATGCTTGGTGTCAGTATGTCATTGCATCTTGTTATTGACAGGTGTTGTATATTTGTCAATGACTCGTTCCATGATTTGCAAAATGGTTGATTGGTGCCATGAAAACCATTTTTATGGTTACTAATGTATCAAGTGCATAAGGTTAGATTAAAGTGGCTGTTTGCCTAAAAAGGGGTTACCTTATCATTATTTATCCAGTTTTAAATGGATACAATTTCAAATTATAAATCTACGTTTAAGTAAAGTTGTGAATTTTTGTGATCTTTATCAAAGTGTGAGTCGTATACTTCACAGACAGGATTTCAAGTTCAATAGGTAAACGCAGTTGTAATAAAGTGGGACATGATATTTACTATTTGTAAACGTTCTGTCGAAGTTTTCCTACAAATTCAGCAACAACGTGATACCATATACATTACAGACGTTTCATAAAGTGACGTCATATAACTTCACAGTTGTACAGTTGTGAAGAAATGCTTACCTAATCGTACGTTTTACATATTCAGTGCCGATCAATATTACGTTTGATGACAATGACAGTAATAGCAAATAAATGTTCACAGTGTGACTGGTTACCTATCTCTACAAATACTGATTTTGGACCATGCCGTTTTCACATGTAATGATGTTTACCTTTGTCACATCTTGCGTCATTGAAAACGGTTCACCTGAGCAGGGTGACCCTTGACCCAGGCAGCTGTGGGTTGGTTTCTTGAAGTCAAAACGGAACTGCATAGACTGGTTTACCATATGTCCCGTGTACGTCTGGTTCCCTCTGCTTCTCAGGCCAGAAGGAGTTAATTCCTGGCGTTCCCGGTAACCCCCGTTCCAGGCCTTGAATGTGAGAGTCAGTCTGAGGTTGGGAAACGAATTACATATATAGCGATTGTTTTAATGGACAAAACGTTCATCTCGTCTCATCATACTTTTGAAAGAATTAAGAATAGTTGACTGGGCACACTTATCATGATGTCATTTCTGTCCAAACAATACACGCAGTCCCCAAACTTACTTTTATCGTCATTACAGAATGTATATCAGAACATACTTTATTTAAGTAGTTCATTTTGAAATGTTTTGGAAACCCTGTAATTACTGACTGAATACCTTCAACCTTGGTATCAGTTGCAATTGCACATTTTATACAATTTGATTCGGCATGTTCGCGTATACCGCTATGAACCTCACGCATGCACACACAGGCTTCTATGGAGCACACACACACACACCCCATGTTATATATATATATATATATATATATATATTGATATTACCAGAAATGTGTTCACACATTGTTCCCTTGAGAGGAATCGAACCCGCCTGGGGACGATTTAACGATCAGGCTACAACACTGCCCCACAAACCAGGATAGGAACGACTTGAAATTGTTCCTTTATTATTGTAGAATTAGTTTCGAGCACACGACATCATTTGGACATATGTAAGTACCGAAACGTGCACGTTATGATGGTCTATGAACAGTGGTCATAAGAGTGATCTTAATATTTTGTTATCTATAGAGGATGAAACTAATTTATGACGTCAAGTACTATAGTAAATATATATTCGTATAGTTCTTAAGAAGGTTTTGCTGATTACTTGACATGTTCGCATAGAGCAATGCCAGATTTAATTCATTTGCATATACATATTAAATGCCATCAACGTATATGAAAATAGATATTGATAAATGTCTATAACATTTCCGTCGTTTATAGTGAACACACATGTCGGACAAAGCGTCGCACATATGTTTAATATAATAATCAATCGGTCACATGCACAAAATAATGATTTGCAATACTTATGCTGCCTTCTAAGCTTTAAAAGGTTAAAACTTTTGCTCGTACACCGAAGACCGGGTTCGATTCCCCACATAGGTACAGTGTTTGAAGCTCATCTCTGGTGTCCCATGCTGTGATATTGCTTGAATAATGCATTGCTAAAGGCGGCACAGAATCTCAGAATCTTATTCACTCATTCACTCACATTTCAACCTTTGATATAAAGGAGAGCATCTTACGTATCTCCATTTTCCAGAGATCTGTCATAGTCCCGTTTGGTGATGTTACAGTAGTAGGTGTCGGAAGTGGGGTTGAGGGAAGACACAGTCGGTGTGCAGGGCAAGGTCATTTCCAGGCTGAAAACAGGTTTTGAACCTAGAAAATAGTAGTAGTGAGAAAGTGTTATAAACATGGATGTTCCAAGGGAAAACACTGTAAGAGAGTAGGCATTTTGAACAGTGGTTTCATTTTGGTGTTGTTGACGTTACTTTAGTTCTGAGTGTGTGAGTGAGTTAATATTTAACGTCACCTCGGCAATATTGCAGCCATATAGTGACGAGAAATGCTAGGCATACATAATAAATACAAGTAGGTAAATAACCAGTCATCGGCGGACTGTAAAATAACTACAGTATCACAGATATGGATATAAAACTAGCATGGAATACTAAAACATTTCAATTAAAGCAGACAATACAATATAAAACACGGACTATAGATCGCTAACAACTGAAGGTAGATCATCATACCAGGAACCATGGGGACTTACATTACTTTTGCTACCTGCATGGACCCTAGTTGGATTTACACCATCGCTTCAGCCACTGGCGATGGTAGGAAGATTTAGCCGAAATTTAAAATAACAAAGATTTTACGATTAAAAAGTATGGTTGAGCGAAATTGACTTGGAAAGATTTTGGGACTTACGTATCCTCTCAGGAGGACAATAATTTTACGCTACTTCAACCCCCTTTGAGGATACAGCTACAAACAATTTAAGTTGATAGTCAGAACTACCAATTATAAAACTTTCCCTATTTACAAAACATATATCAAAATTCATTTAACAAATCAATCTCTTTTAGTATCATTTGCGACGGTAGTATGTTCTTAAGTACCCTATTTAATGAATAGACGCATATCGTGAACGGTTCTCACCCGTCAACGGTAGCTTCTCGTGGTGAATTTCAACTTCGGCTTTAGCAATTCCAATGCCATATCTCTTGATGAAGAAGGGCTGAGTGTGATTGTCCGTCATGTAATGGGCAGACGCGGTGACGTTCACCCAGTTGAATCTCTCCCTGTTTGTCCACACGGAGTCAGCATCAGTGGACATGGTGGAGTCCGCGTACAAGGAATACGTCTCCATGGTTGGCATCCCGGTGCCACGCTGCCAGAACGACAGTCTGGCGCCGATCTCGTAAATCTCTGGCTTCTGGGGTGATTCCACTGCAGCAGACATTAAAAAAGACATTCAGTCCCTTGTTACCTAATACGGCACATTCCTAGTTTATATTTTGGGAACTATCCACTTTGACTATTTTTACAAAGTTTACTAACAATCTCTAGCTCATTACTTCCAGGGACGGTGGGATAGCCTAGTGGTTAAAACGTTCCCTCGTCACGCCGGAGGTCTGGGTTCGATTCCCCACATGGGTACAATGCGTGAAACCCATTCCTGGTGTTTCCCGCGTTGATGTTGCAGGGATATTGCAAAGAAATTATTCATGGGCCTTTTAACGGACATTTATTTTGTGGTTAAGAGGAATATACCCCTGGTTATTAACTGACTTTGTAATTGACATAAGCTTATAGTGTAAACATAATGAACCAGTACATGTTCTACAATAGTCAATCGGACGAGTTGACGGAGATGTGAAGCCTGATGAACAGTCACAGTTGACATTGGCGCCTGATGTACAGATCCCGGGGAAACAGGGCCTCTGGTAGTTACATACCACTGAAAAACAAACCAAAAACTTCATATAGAACAATATGGCGAATGGCATATAACATTGGCCATTAGCATCCTCTTTAGCAAAACACACTCTCAAAACATGGCATAGAGCTTTTGAAAAACACGAGCTATTTATGCTTAATTAGTTTTCAGTTTGGTGTTGCTGGAAACAATTGGACAGTTTTCAAAACAAGATCCCCTTTTTGACTTATGCCTGTATGGTAGATACAGTTTTGTCATAAAGGATATGTGGCCAAGGCATGGCACAAACATGCACCTGAGTTATGTCAGTGACGTATATTGCGGGAGGAGATGTCCAGTTGCAGCTTGAACTGACCAGGCAAGACCGCATCCTTCATGAACTGATTCACCATCATTTAGCTTCTGCAGCTTCAGCATGAATCAAATACTCAGAACATACATTTTTGTTTGTTTAAAGGAACACAGTAATTTACCAATTTACAATTCCACTTTTCTCCTTCAGCGGACGTTATAAAAATATCGCCTCAACATTACGTACACGTGTTACACGTTGGCCCCACAGCTCCATCATTACACCGACAAACGTTGGGTTGCACACAGGTACCCCCGTTCTGACAGGGAGGGTTGCAGATTGCTGGAAATACAATACCAAACTAATATTTTATAATCGAAGCCCTTTTACACAACATAAAATATTATGATATGATGTGAACTTAGCTGACCGTCAAGACTGACGGACATACCAGCAATACAAGTTGTAGTTTTAACGACTGCATGTTGGAATTGATCGATCTCACTTGAAAATATGTCTCATATTCAGACTCTCTAATTAATGTGAATTCATCTCAAAGGGTTATAACGTTCAAAACCCAAAAGAAGACACTTTGGTAGCACAATTCCTTTAGAATGAATGTTCTCGTTATTTCAGATGTTGAGGAACATTTGAGAAACAATTTATGCCACTATTAAAGTGTCACCATTCAGCTTGTGCAATAACTAGGTACTGTCAATGAGGAGCCTTACCTTGGCTACAGTTCTGGTAGGATGAAGTTCTCCAGCCAGAACAGCAGAAATATTCAGTCAGATAATCCGGCACCGAGTAATACCTGTAGTAGCAGCAGCTGAATAGAGGAAACATCTCATTGATAACGCCATACCAAACCATAGCCAATGTAGGTTTTGGGGCTTACATACACTACATACATATCGAATACATACAGTAGGAATATTGTTACAGTGAATATGCCATAAACCTCAAATAACTAAAGACGTTGAACAAACAATGAGTTATTTGAGGATAATCGCTCCATCATGGAAAACAACGAAGGCATAAAATGACCCATAAGGTCTCACCTTAGCCAAGCGAGTTAGTTAAAAATTGCCTCTGTTCATCCAGCAGAAAATGGGTACCCGGTGGAATAAGTCATGCGACTGTTTACATTCTAGCGCCTCACAGGTAGCTTGGGTTATCAGGGGTAGTAGTATCTATTTTGTTGTATGTGATTAGAGTATGCAACTGAACGTGGAATTCACCGCCTTATTATTATGTGTGTACAGAATAAGATGAAAATGCAGCAGAGAGGGTTCGGGTGATCCTGGCACAGTCAGGTTGGTAAGGTTCATCATCAGCTCAGGGCGCTTGCCCCCTCTACAAGCAACTAAGACAGTGAAAGGAACTTCTTCCTCGAAGCCCCACCCAGTCGAACCAATAGAAAACTTTCCGGAGAATATGGAGACTCCCCAACACTGCAGCCTTCTTGCATTACCCACAGTGTCAGAAGGGTCATGCTTCCGGTGGAGAACCCGGGCACTCTCCTCATCTGCTATAAGATACCAGGAGGTACCAGACCAAGGGCATCGAGAAGTCGGAAGTCGGACGACAGTGTACATGGGATGCAAGTCAGACATTTCAAAGTCGAGATCTGCATATTCAGCCTGTTTTTCCTGAATCTTGTTAATCATATTGCCGTCAAAGGGACAGAAAATTCAATAACATAAATACATTCATTCGCTTTATGAACAGAGACACGATTAGATTTGTTGGCTGGAATTCTTCTGAGGCTGTATATGGGCCTGTTCAAATGAAATCTGACAGCACGATTTGAAGCCCTGGACATGTTCAGGGTCGTACAATGGATGGACCTTGGAGTCAAAGCCACAGGCGAAGACGGTAGAAGAAGAAAAGAGTCATGATATCATGTCGTTTAAGATTTGCTATTTGTGCCCAAGGAAGGGCATTGACTGACAATGTTTTGGACAGTCTCTGATAATTCATTGCACAATCGTCATGTTAACAGTTTCTTTAAGAATCACATTTATGCGAAAATCACCTTTCCGAGCATGTGTTCTATTTATATGGTCGCGTATGGTTCACCAATATAGAAATGTGCAAAATATATTCTGCCTATAACTAATCATGTAAATTACTGTTATGACATGCACTGGTTCCACATACCCCATCCACGTCCGATATGCACATCGTCTCACGCGTCTGTAGCGGCAGAATGTTTGAGAACAAACGTTCCTGTAAAACACACATAAATAATCACATGAACACGAATGGCAGACAGCATGAAACGTTTCTAACCAACACTGACTAATAATACACAACATCTTCTTGCAATCAAAGTAAACCCGTAATATGCATCCTCCATGTAAAGAACGTCACGTTACAGTAGTTGTGGTATGAGAGAGCGACCAGACCAGCCAGTGTACGGGAATGAAACCGAGTGAAGCGTAATAAAATCGGCAATTTTGTCCCTTTACGATCCGAGTTCAGCGTCGGTTGGTTGCTCGGTTGGTTGGTTATTTACGCCGCGCTCAGTAATATTCAAGTAATACGACGGCGGTCTGTAAGTTATCGAGTCTGGACCATTCAATCCAGAGATCAAGAGCATGAGCATCAATCTACGCAACTGGGCTTAAATATGATGTTTGAACCAAGTCAGCAAGCTTCACCCGATCCTCTTATTCGCGTCTTACGACAAACATTTGTTGCTGGAAACAAATTCTAACCCGGAGCTTTATGGGTCCGGGGATCAGCTACAAAAAGACAGAGCGAGTGAGGTTTTACGCCGGTGTGAGCACTCTTCCAGCAATATCACGATGGCGGACACCAGAAAATGGTACCCATGTGGGAAATCGACCCTGGGTGTTCGGCGTGAGGAGTGAACGCATTAACCAGTGGGCACCCCATCGCTCCAACAAAGACAGACAGACACAGCACAACTTGACATACAACATAGAATCTTTGAGCAAATATATGGTCAATATATTCACAAAATACCGTTTTAAATCTATAGATGCAAAGGAGAAGTCTGCATAGAAATGTGAGTCTAAATATATAGAATAATCGAAACTCGACAGCGCTTTAATACGCCATCTTGGAATATTGCCACCATATTGCCATTTTATACAGTAGACAATTATCTAAGCGTTTATAATCAGGTAGAATAGGGGTGTTGGAATAGCCTAGTGGTAAAAGCGTACTTTCGCACGCTGAAGACCTGGGTTCGATTCATATTTGCGGTGTCCCCACAGTCATGGCTTAAACTTATATTCACTCACTCACCGCTGAATGAACCGCATCTGCAACCCCTTGCATTATCATGATAAAAGGACAGTTCACTAACATGACGAGGTTAGAGAATACAGCGTTCCGAGTGGGGTCGTTCAAGCACAACAGGTAATGCAAAGATTTAGAAGTTATTTATTTATAGCTGAATGAAAACCGTAATATACTTCCTCATTCCACAGTCCCAAGACAGACCGTGGGTTTCGATGCATGCAGCGAAGTGGGTTGGTGTCAAGTTTCGTGTGTGTACAGTAAATGTCTAGTTTAGACTTAAATGTGATCATTACCAAGCGATTGTAAATCTACAATACACAAACATGTCAAAAATACACATAGGAGTCACCTGTGTTTGTCCCGACAAACACTGATACTGATTACATGTGTATGTCCTCATCCATACACTGACCAGTACTGATTACATGTGTGTTTCCTCATTCACACATTGACCAATACTGATTACATGATTGTCTGTGTGTCCTCATTAACACATTGGCCAATACTGACATCATGTGTGTGTCATCAACCATACACGGACCAATACTGATTACATGTGTGTGTCATCAACCATACACTGTCCAATACTGATTACATGTGTGTGTCATCAACCATACACTGATCAATACTGATTACATGTGTGTGTCATCAACCATACACTGGCCAATACTGACTTCATGTGTGTGTCATCAACCATACACTGACCAATACAGATTACATGTGTGTGTCATCAACCATACACTGTCCAATACAGATTACATGTGTGTTTCCTCATTCACACATTGGCCAATACTGACTTCATGTGTGTGTCATCAACCATACACAGATCTATACCGATTACATGTGTATTTCATCAACCATACACTGTCCAATACTGATTACATGTGTGTGTCATCAACCATACACTGTCCACTGATACATGTGTTCAACCATACATGACCAATACTGATTGTGTCATCAACCATACACTGATCAATACTGATTACATGTGTGTGTCATCAACCATACACTGACCAATACTGATTACATGTGTGTGTCATCAACCATACACTGTCCAATACTGATTACATGTGTGTGTCATCAACCATACACTGACCAATACTGATTACATGTGTCTGTCATCAACCATACACTGACCAATACTGACTTCATGTGTATGTCATCAACCATACACTGACCAATACTGACTTCATGTGTGTGTCCTCAACCATACACTGACCAATACTGATTACATGTGTATGTCATCAACCATACACTGACCAATACTGACTTCATGTGTGTGTCATCAACCATACACTGACCAGTACTGATTACATGTGTGTGTCATCAACCATACACTGACCAATACTGATTACATGTGTATGTCATCAACCATACACTGACCAATACTGACTTCATGTGTGTGTCATCAACCATACACTGACCAGTACTGATTACATGTGTGTGTCATCAACCATACACTGACCAGTACTGATTACATGTGTGTTTCCTCATTCTCACATTGACCAATACTGGTTAAACGTGTGTCCTCATTCACATACAGATCAGTACTAAGTACATATGTGTAATCATTCACAAATTGGCCAATACGGATTTCATGTCTGTGCCCTCATCCTAACACAGATCAATACTGATTACATATGTGTGTCTTCATTCAGACACAGATCAATACTGAGTAAATGTGGGTAATCATTCACAAATTGGCCAATACTGATTACATGAATGTTTGTCCTCATCCATACACATATCAATACTATCTACATGTGTATGTCCTTATCCACATACAGACCAATACTGGTTAAATGTTTGTGGATACATATAGACCGATGAAGAAACCGTGTGTTTCCTTCTTCACACACAGGCCAATACTGATTACATGTGTGTGTCCTTATCCACACACAGATCAATGACGATGCCATGTGTATGTCATCGAAACACAGACCTTTACTGATCACATGTGTACACAGACTAATGAAGATATCATGTGTATTTCCTTATCTCCACACTGCCCAATACTTATTAGATGTGTCTGTCCTCATCCACATACTGAGCAATACTTATTGCATAAGTGTGCCTTCATCCACACATTCATCAACACTGATACATTTGTGTGTTTTTCATTTATACAATATATACAGGACAGATTCGGAACATTATAGGTCCATAAGAAAGAATTATATGTTCGTGTGCTGGCTGGCTGTCCTACGCATTGTTACACACGGATCGTACAAACTGCATAATAACTATTGTAATATTTCTGTAACTATAGAAATATTGGACACACTTTTACGTATCGTGCAGAAACATCAATATATCCAACAATGCGTACTGTCCCGTGTAACCTATACAGTAAATATGCAATAAAATTCATGATAAACTGCCAGCGTGGTTTTATTTTCAAATCTATTACGACTTTGAAACGACAGCGTACAAATACAAAGGTACATTTCCCGAACATAGAGCTGTCATATTCCTGTTTTCATAGTAAGGCACGTTTTGTTTTCGACAATTGGTAACTTACCCAGTCCACTGGATACTGAGGTCAAGGAACGTGACCAGGATCAGCAGCTGGAAGATGTAGTTTGTCTTCATTCTGGACACAAAGTAGAGCCAGCTCCGAGCCTGCTCCTTGATCCAGGATGTAAATTACGCAGCGGGTGTACTCCGAATGTAGACTTCGACTGGTGCACAGGCAAGCTATATGCAACAGACCAGGATGTAATATTTAGTGGTTCTCATTTTTCACTGTATGTTCAGCAGCAAAATATTTTTGTAAAAGATGTAAAACTACCCGAACCCTATTGTGCAAAACCAACCTATTTCTTGAAAAATGTCTATTGTGAAATGTAGCAGAATTTCTGCACTTGTATACGTCATATATAATTAAAGTCTCTATTTCATGTTAAGAAAATCAGTAAATGCACCACCGTGTCACTTGATTTTGTGGTCCAATATTTTAAAGAATGGAGATTGGCGAGGATATTCCCCTATATGAGTAGTTTATATGATGAACAAAGAGATTTTTTCTGGATTACATCTTCTTTTTATTCAAAAATAACCCTATTGCTACTGCCAATCAAGCATCTAGTTTATATGACTTAGTATGACGTGTCTTCATACATTTCCCTGATCCTAAAGCAGATTTTTTATGTCATTTCTTCAAACATATCGCCAAATGGTATATATTTAAAAATGATAATCAGTTAGAAGCTTCCCTTCATTAAAGGATTAGTGACACTGAATGTGATTTAAACGTATTATTATCATTCAGTTGTGTGTGGTGAACAAGCTGTTATAGCTTATATTAACACCACTCCCATGAAGCAAATAATACAAAGTGTACGACAGAACATATTACAGATTATCATACAAGTTAACAACTGTTAAACAGAAGCACAGAAATATGATGAAAACAAATCGGTTTGAAGTGTAATTATGTTGTTATCTAAGTCTATGAGATAACACATGTATGAGTAATTGGTCAGCTACAATTTAGAGTGCCGGGAGAGTTAACAGTTAGTGGTACTGATTCGTATCAACTTTTGAAAAGGCAGAAAGAAATTGTGAACAACCATCTCTCGCGTTTTCCCACTTACGGAGCTGACAGCCACGTGAGAAACTGCGGCTTCGACTACGGCCACTGTAACTTCTGCTACGTATACAAGTTTCGTGGTGCATAAAGCCCTTGGGCTACATCTGCTCCAGCAACCATGACCCAGAACCTTAGCATAATCCCAGGCACCATGTCGTCACCAACCTCAAAGAGTATCCCCCTAAGTTAGTCATATCACCATTTCGACCACACTTCAACAACCAAGCCAGACAGCAAATCAGCCCTTTCAGACCACCAACATCAGTCCCCAGCCATCTAATGCAGTTTGACAAAGTAGAAATCCTTTCCACGAAAAACCAGATGTCCGCGAAAAGCAGGTGCTAAATGTCATCACTAGATGTGCAGTGCTGTCCCTATTGTATTCATCTATGACTCTGCAATGACAAATGTGGAGAGCAGCTCGTCCACTCACTCTGAAAAACTCTGCACGAAGTTAACACGGTTAATGTCCATTTTGGACGTTATTACAAGCAAGTCGAGAGTAAACCTTGATTCTTCAGAAGAAATGAAATGACATAAGCCGGGACATTATCCCAGTGCTGCCGTTCCCTTCACAACTGACACCTCTCACTCAGATGACCATTTTGCATAGTTCGCACGTTTAAGGATTTGTTTGTCATCTAGTGTGGTGTCATCTGTTGAAAATGCTAACTGGTGTCTTGTAGTATCTGCTGCTTGAAATGTTAGTTTCTCCACGTTGTAGTGTTCTCTGTCTGCATCTACTAGTGGCCATGTCCTACTACTGCATGTATCAGCTAGTACTACATTCTGCTAGTTGTAGTGCTTCGTATGTTTAACTGAATTTGTCTTGCCTCACACATAAATGTCGTTTTCTGATTGGCTGAGCGCTCTTCTATTATTTTCAATGTACCCTGCTTACAAGCGAGTAACATTTTCTATGGACCCCTCTTGGAATGCCGAACTCATTTGGTACTTCGTAGTGGTGATTGTTTATCTCGAATAACATTGAATCACGTATGATGTACTGAAATTACCGATGTTTTGCGAATGCAAATCGATGGAAGGGAGATAAGTTTGTTTTTCTTGTCGTCTGGTACTCTATGCTATGATCCGATACCCGAGCATCAAACTGTTCAAAATTACCATTGAGGTGTTCGGTAAGGTAAATTCATTGTTCACTGGTCCCTCGGGGACCATGGGTTGATGTACCCTCGATGTTTCTATATGTTCCCCTCGCCCTTCTCGCTCAAGGAACATAAACAAACATCGAGGGTACATCAGCACATGTCCAACTCGAGACCAGTGAACAACTTGTTCCATCATTCCTAAGTCCATCAAATGGAGAATGCATACATACACGTACGACCGTGGACACCATAATACTTGATATCGCACTGTTTACATGACGAAGGATTTAAATGACAAAGCGAAGTTCGATGCTTAGCATGGATATATGTTTAAATAATAAGAAATAAACAAAGGCAGGTCGACATGTTAAATCAGCTTCGTGGTATCTCAAAACTCTAAAAATACTATAATATAATATAGCTGAGTCCGGCGTTGAAAAGATTGAGATACAAACAGAGGCATTTCACCTATTTGAAATATCCACATGACAACAAGATGCTCCAAATACACAGACAACGCTACATGGTTGTCAAAGAGTTCTTAACTTCAAGAGGGACTATTATAAATTGTCTGGCGCTTTCCCCCGGAGTTGTGGTTGGCATAATGTATGGAACTGCCATATTGTTTCTATGTTTTGAAATAATTACCTGTAATTGAGATGTGTATGTATCTCCCGATCTGCCAGTCATGCGTAAATGTAACCTTGATTATGTGAAATTGCTACGTAGACACGATTTACATATGCTCTCTATCAAAAGACTCATTAGTGTAAATGTAACCACTTACTTCAGTCAACTGTTCTAAAAACTAGATTTTGCAAAATATTCCATACTGTTCAAAGGTACTGTTTACACATTAACTGATGTATTGTAAAACAAATTCGTAATGTTGAAAAGATTATTGTCATGAGTTCAAAAAATGATGAAACTCAGTGAATATTGGTGAATTCTTAACCAAACTTTACACCAAAACGCAGCTGTTCATACTCACGATATTTGCACATGCTTTTCAGCAATTTGATGCAAGATCCTCATGCAATTCACCTTCATAAAGTTTACAGTTGGTTCCCCTCACTTAGTGGAGAAATTCATTTTCGATGTAACCTCATATATGTACATAACATATAGTGAATGCTTTAAGTGAGTCTAAACTTTTGATGGGGAGTATATATCATTACAGTTGCACAGTTGACCTTCACGTTGGAACATGCAGGCTTAAGATGTACGTGTACATAATAGCGAAATGGGAAGCTGCTACCGTGCTTGAAATAGGATATACATTTGATCTGTTCGTAACCAACAAATTTGTAAATAGACACAATTCTCAATTTGCACCCCGATGAACTTCCTCTTTGTTGGATTGTTCCTTCATCGGACGATTTTGTAATGGTGTAAGTCATCCAAGTGTAAGAATAGAAATCATGATACCAGGAACATCAACACAACCCGTGAAGATCAAGGTTCGAATTGATTATCAGCAACCCATGCTTGTCATAAGAGGCGACTAACGGGATCGGGTGGTCAGGCTTGGTGACTTGTTTGTCATCGTATCACAATTCCGTAGATCGATGCTCATGATGATAATAACTGGATTGTCTGGTCCAGACTCGATTATTCACGGACGGCCGCCATGTAGCTGGAATATTGCTGTGTTTTAAACAATCAACCTAATAAATATCTATAGTATAGAATGTTTTATGTTGTGATGGAAGACTCAGTAATAGTTCCAAATTTGAATCATGTCCCATTGTTTACTGGATATGTAATCCGTATAATTATCTCTGAATGAGAACGGTGAATTGCAAAATACCTCCTTGTCGAGATTAGTCCTTTAAATCACAGTACGGTACATGAAAACCCTGTATCTGACAATATCTGCTGTTTGTTATTCTTATAACCATCAGTAAAAAGCCAGATTGTTTTGTTACTTTGTGTTGTTGACATCTGACAAAGAGGCGGCAGCGATAGGAAGAACAGCGCAATATAATGGTATAGGGATTCGTTCCATGTGCACAAACCAGCATTATAATGTCGAAATTATAAGAAACACACAATAATTTTTAAAAAATATTTGAAATTTCATATATCCATATCACCTATGCGTTTCTTTTTTTGGGAGAGCATACAAGTTAAACATTCACGACAGAAAACCAGGAAGATAGAGACAGTAATTTGGAGGCTGGTCACGAATCGGTCTTTTGTTGGCGGAGATACGATGTTTAACATTTAAAATACAGCTGACGATGTATCATATAACGTAAGTTTACTAAAGCAGGAAGTACCCATACGCAAGTAGAGATGTCAATATACACGCAAAGCTAGACACTGAAAACCCCATACATATACCCCATACAGAGTAAAGAAGTCCATAAATACCTTACGATAATTATTTGTAAAAGTACCCTCCAAACTCTTTATGTATGTATGGATCATATAGAGCACAGATAACATGTGATCAGTTATTTATTAAGTTACGAACTATTGCCAGTTGTGAGTATAGTATTACCAAGGGCTTACGTTACCTATAGGTACTTAGGTCATTATTGTATGGTTGTGGTTCTGTAAAAGATAGATTATACAGGTAGGACTCAGCATTACGTTGCGTGACCTAGATTATACACGTTACTACATAAGCTGAAGTTAGCACGCTCTAGTTGTATGTTACCTTGCTATTTGTGTTAACCAGGCTTTTGGGTACTAGCTAGTTTTATGGTTTATAATAAGTTGGGTTTCAGTATTGCCTATATAGAGATATAATCCCATCTTGACCTATGTTGATTGAAGGCTGAGAATTGATTGAAAGCTGAGAATGGTTTGGTTGATTAATTGTTTGGTTGATTAATTGATTGGTTGATTGATTGATTGAATTGTTGGTTGGTTGGTTGGTCGGTTGGTTGATTTAGTTGGGTGATTCCGTTGGTTGGTTTAGTTGGTTTGTTGGTTGATTTAGTTGGTTAGTTGGTTGGCTGGTGTCATATAGTTGG